CTGACCGAATTCTGTATGACACCGTCCATCCCCTTCATAATGAGTTAATGGCTGCGAAATCCTTACGCCCCACGCGTCGATGCTTCCGCCACATCCCTTGCCGCACTTCGGCCTATCGGAATTCCATACTGCCATTTCTAGCTCGGTATCTCACCTGAAAAGATGTTGAAAAACAAAAACTAAAACTCGATCTTGCACCTTAAAGTCCTTTTTTCTTCATATATAATCATGTCCACCTGTCTGTCCAAAAACCTGTTAATCTCTATGGTAATCACTGTGTACTGGAGAACCGTTTTTGCTGAAAGTTTTGAAAGTTATTTTCAAAATAAAGCAGTCCTCTCTCTCTCTCTCTTTCACCTGGCGCAAAAGTGGGTCTGCTGCAGTGGTGGCCCTGATGTGCTCGGCTGTGAGCGGCAACTGTCGGATGACACCTCTAAACTCGTCATCATCTTGCATTAGCGTACTGGCGACAACCACGTCTTCTTGATTTTCGTTGCTTGTACTCAGTCGTGATAAAGCGTCCGGAGCTCCAAACTTCTGAGTAGGCACATATTGGATCTGAAAGTCATAGTTTTGAAGAATAGTACTCCAACGTTGTATTCTCCTAGCTACGTTCTGGGGAACACCACGGTTAGTACCCAAAAGGAACTTCAGTGGCTGATGATCAGTGTGCAGTGTGAAGGGTCTGCCATAAATAAACAGGTGGAATCTCTGTACGGCGAAGATAATGGCCAGTGCCTCCTTTTCAATCTGGCTATAATTCCGTTCAGCCTTCGTCAGTGACCTGGCGTCATGCATGATTGGCTGTACTCTCCCATCTGCGTCCTTCTGAAGGAGCACTCCGCCTAAACCGTAATCAGAGGCGTCTGCCTGGACAATGGTTTCTTTGTCAGCCTCGAAGTGCGATAGCATAGTTGAGTCGCATATCTTTGTCTTTATGGCATCAAATGCTTTTTGACATTCTGGTGACCAAATAAACTCCACGTCCTTGCACAGAAGTCGGCTGAGTGGAGGTTTTAAACCGTGCAACCCAGTGATGAAGGGACCGTAGTAGCTGACCAACCCCATAAACGATTGCAGCTCCTTCGTGTTCTTCGGCACTTTCATGTTCTGGAATGCCTTCACCCTCTCTGGGTCAGGGGCACGCCCATTCTCGTTGACTATGAACCCGAGATAGTGAATCTCCTTCCGCAAAAATTCACTTTTCTCCATATTGATCTTAAGGCCGTAGTCGATCAGATTGTCCACAACCTGGTCCAGCCTTTGAGTCAGCTCTTCCTCTGAGCTACCGACAACCAAAATATCGTCCAGATATGCAATAGTCCCGGGAACATTCGTAAGCATCGTGTCCATGATCTGCTGGAACACACTAGGCGCCGTTTTCACGCCATAGTTTAAGCGAGTGTACCTGAAAAGACCCTTGTGCGTATTAATGGTCAAAAGTTCCTGCGATTTCTCATCCACCTCAATTTGCAAGTAAGCTTCAGATAGATCGATCCTTGCAAAGACTTTCCCTCCATTTAGAGTAGCAAAAATCTGCTCTAAGGTTGGCAGCGGGTAATAATAATCTTCTAGTGCGTCGTTCAGGCCCGTTGAATAATCCGCACATAATCGTATTTGTCCGTTGGGTTTCTTCACCGCCACGACTGGAGCAGCCCAAGCTGAATAATTGGTAGGATAGATTATGCCCTTTTCCTGTAGTCCTTCTAGTTCAGCTTCTACGGACGACTGTACCGCAAACGGGACTCGTCGGCTCTGCTTGAAGACTGGCTTTTTCTCCGTCTTCGCTTTCAAACTTATCTTCGTTTTCGTGCACCTGCCGGCCGCGTTCTCCATGCGTTCCATATACTTATTCTTCAGGACCTCCTCAGTAGTGTTGTACACCGCGCTGCAAATTTCGTCAAAGGGACGGTTCCACAATCCCAGTTCGGAGATCGTCTTATTTCCGAGAAGATTGTTACGGGTCTTCGACACATAGACATCTGCGAGGCAAGTCATGTTTCGAAAACTGACAGTCGCCCGGAAAAAGCCTTCAAATTCCATACGCGTCTCGTTCGACGCCCACGCTATGATCTCTGATGGTGTCAGTTCTGGAGAACCGATGTCCTCCCATGTGCGCATGCTGATTATGGTCAGATCAGAAGCCGTGTCTACTTGTAATGTGACCGGCTTTTCGTTAATCTTCACTGTCAGGTATTTCCGGTGTTCACAGTTGAGTACATGCGAATCGTCTTCTAGAACGACATGACAATTCTTTCTTGGGCTAGTGTGCGCTGCTCTGCAATGTGAAGCTTTATGGCCAACACGGGAACATTTGTAGCACTTCCTACTACGATAGGGACATTTACTCACGTAATGCCAGCCGCCGCACAGCCAACAAGCCGTCTTTGGCTTCCGTGGAGAAACTCTATTTGGTTGTGGTTGTCTCGATTTTGTGTCGAAAACGTAAACTGGCTGACTATTTGTGCTTCCAATAAGCCGGGTGTCTTGCTTGATATTTGTGATTCGGACACATTCCTCTGCCAGTTCCTGTACTGTCATATCGCCTTTCTGGTCTAGCTGGGCGAGTAACCGCGTGCGCACATCTGCATCTTCTGGCAACGTCAACGACTTAATGAAGAATAGTGCTTTAATCTGTGTGCTGGTGGCCTGTTCTAGCTCGGCTTGTTGAAACGTATCATTAACTCGACCGGCCAAGTCAAAATAGTCTTCTTCAGGCTTACGTTCTAGCTTGAAACATTCGTAAAGTCGATTGAAGAAAGACTTTGTAAAACAGAACAATGCTTCCAAATGCTTGACTGTGTCCTTAAACGAGACATCTGATGGTTTCTGAGGCAGAATGAACTTTACGTACCGCTCGTGCTCCCGCTGGGCCAGTTTTAGCAGAATGATTTCCACTTTCGTCTTGTCGTCCAGTTCTGCTCCCTTCTCTTCGAACAGTCCTTCGTACTTTCGAAACCAGGCTTCGAAATTTACGCCTCCCTCTGGATCGTAAACGAACTCGT